TCAAATTCCTGAAAGATATAGTTTATCTATAGATCTACCTGTTGAGCCACTCGTGATCGACTAGTTATTATACCGCAAATTAGTAAAAATATCCCGTAATCTATCTAGAGCGAGCGTGCATGATATTGTAGATATTGTGCTCCAAACCGTGCGCGCGCATGGCAGAGAGGTCTGTTCCCTACAACCTAGAGTTTTTAAAAACATGGTTTTAAGTAAAGTGTGATTTGCCAGGGGGGACTGGGATTTCCTTCTGGTCTAAACATCCCTGCTTCTGCTGAATTATTTGAATCCCCACACCCCTCCCTCCACAGCTAATCAATGCTATAGGCTACTTCACCAATATCAAATATAAAATAGAGATATGCAACAGGCACGTTTAAACGACAAACAATAAACTCAAAACCAGCGTTTCAGTTGTTCATTAGTTCCAGTGGCCTGAATGCATGCACGGCTTTTCAAAATTTCCCAAAGCGTGTTGAGATTATTTTGAATGAAATATTGAAGTTTATAATTAAGTTTTCTGGCACACCACGCCGAGTGGCCCTATGCATTTTTCTAAAGTCGGGTTTTATTCTGGCATGGTAAGTTAGTGTTCGACAAACGCGGCGGCGCGTTCATTTAGATTAATTTTATTTTTCTCATTATTACAGCTAAAATAACTTAATAGGCGACTCCGTAATTTTTTGGTCATACAGATAAGAGTAGAGTAGCTTACATCGTTCAAAACTGTAAACTTGTATTCATATTAGGCTAACGGCAAAAACAGTATATCTGTCGTGTCGTCTCTGTCTCCGGGAACTGCGCGTCACAAAAATGAACCGAAAGCCACTTCAGCTCAGTCACGATAAGAAATCGGCTATGTCTAAAGCCTTTAAATGTCTAAATATTTAGGCTAATAAATATTATCTGATTATGTAGGCTAATCCATATGAAAACTAGAGGTACAGAGGATCTACTCAAACATAAGCGCTTCCCAATGAGAAAATGACAAGACAAGGGTGAAAATCTCGCTCTAATTAAATGTAGGCTAAATCAGCTTCCATGCATATGTGTTTGCTTAATTGCTTGGGTTTCCGGAGATCGCACTTATAAGAGGTATTAGAAACAGAGTGGTCGCGTTCGTCATGGGCGATCTCATTCGGTTCCCCGGCTGATGAAATCATGTATATCGCCGCATCACAAGGTGAGCCCGAGCACTTAAGGCTGATGATTGGTTTTTGGGGGAGGCGAACCCAAATCCTTTCTACCTAGACGTGCATGAAGAGGTCATGAGATCGTGGGAGTCTCCTTTGACTTTTCGTGACTGCTCAGCGGCCTCTTCCGCCTTCTCTGCCCTCGCAGAGGCCGCGGCCTAGGGTACACTGGGGTTCCCCCCGTGGAGTGTTCTGTGGCAACACATCTGTGTCCCCACAGCGCCTCCACCTGGCGTGGCGACCCTAAGCACCCATCCAATGCCTGTAGGTTTTTTTGTCTACTCCGTTGGCAAAGACCTATAGAGCAGCGGGGCAGGCTGCCGCCTCACTGCATGTTATTGCCATCCTTCAGGACATGCACAAGGGTAGGGCTGATTCAAGGCTCATCCAAGAGCTGCCTGCCGTCACCGTCACCACCTCGCTCTACGAGCGACGAAGGTGACCGCACGCTCCCTGGGTCAGGTGATGTCCACATGCGTGGTCAGACATCTCTGGCTTAACCTGGTTGATATGCACGAGGCTGAGCGAACCCGCTTCCTCAACTCCCCCATATCCCAGGCTGGCCTCTTCGGGGGTGCGGTCGAGGACTCTGCCCAACAGTTCTCGGCCGTCCAGAAGCAGACTGAGGCTACTAAACATGTTCTGACTCCGTGGCCAGCTGCTGCCACCCAGCCGCCAGCTCAGACGCCTCAGCCTGCTTGCTGCCAAAGGCACCCTCCTGTGACTTCAGCTTTCTGACTTCGCGCCCTCCTGTGACTTCAGCCCTCCTGTGACCTCAGCTTTCTACGGGCCGGAGTGCCCTTAGAACGAGTTTCCAGGCATGTTGTTGTCTCAACAGATGCCTCCTCCACGGGCTGGCCAATGGACATACTGCCGCGGGCTCCTGGACAGGAACCCAGCGCCTTTTGGCATGTCGATTGCCTCGAGTTGCTGGCAGTACATCTCGCTCTTCACCGCTTCCATGCGTTGCTCAAGAACCAGCACGTACATGTCCGACCAGACAATACCGCGACAGTGGCGTACTTCTTCCGACAAGGTGGTCTACGCTCTCGCCGTTTGACGCAACTCGCCCGCCACCTCCTCTTATGGAGTCAGAAGCATCTGAGGTCGCTTCGAGCCATTATATTCCGGGAACCCTGAATTGTGCGACGTGTGGTGACTCCATCCCCAGTCGGTTCAGCTGATTTGGGATCAGTTCGGGGACGCACAGGTAGACCTGTTTGCCTCCCATGACTCGTCCCATTGCGACCTGTTTCACTCCCTGTCCGAGGGCACCCTCGGCACAGACGCACTGCCGCGGGGCCTCCGCAAGTATGCGTTTCCCCAAGTGAGCCTTCTTGCACAGACCCTGTGCAAGATCAGGGAGGACGAGGAGCAGGTCATATTGGTTGCGCCTCTTTGGCCCAGCCGGACCTGGTTCTCCGAACTTGTACTCCTTGCGACAGCACCTCCCTGCCTGGGCAATCCCTCTGAGGAAGGACTTCTCAGGGACGGGGCACCCTATGGCACCCTCGTCCCGATCTCTGGAACCTCCACATGTGGCTCCTGGACGGGACGAGGTAGGTTTGAGTACCCTACCACCGTAGCCGGTGGTGGCTACCATCACTTCCACTAGAGCATCGTCCACTAGAGATGCCTATGCGTTGAAGTGGAACCTCTTCGTCTACTGGTGCTCTTCTCGCCGAGAAGACCCTAGAAATGCCCGATCAGTGTTGTGCTTTCCTTCCTGCAAAATGGGTTGGAGTGAAGGATGTCTCCCTCCACCCTGAAAGTGTGTGTTGCCGCTATCACCGCACATCACGACGCAGTCAAAGGTAAGTCTCTGGGAAAGCACGACCTGGTCATCAGGTTCCTGAGAGGAGCAAGGAGACTGAATCCTCCTCGCCCTCCTCTCATTCCCTCTTGGGACCTCTCAGTGGATACGTGCGATATTCTCCTCAGGTGAGCCTCACAAGCCCTGAGTTCCTCCAGCGCTGTTGACGTCAATGCCAGAGTTATGCCTCCGGCAGCTTTTGCGATTGGCTAGGTGCCGCCATGTGCATGGTTCCCCCTCTGGGTGACCCCCACATGTGTATTTCCACTGTAAGCCTCTGAGCATGTGTCTTTACCTTGGCAAGCCACTCTGCCACCCATGGGGTTGAAATATTCCACCCTGCGGGCTAGACACCCCAGTGCTCTCCGTTTTGGACTGGGAAGCCCATTTCGTCGTCATTTGACGTAACTCGAAGTGACAACGAAAGGGAACGTCTCAGTTACGGATGTAACCCTCGTTCCCCTCGTTACGTCTCCCTACCACTTCCGCTGTGCCGCTGGAATAGCCGAGTTCAGTCTTGGCTCCTCAGCGAAGAAACATATCTGCATATTGCGGCGTCCTTCCTTTTATACCCACGCGGTGGGGCGGAGTTACGCCATGCAAATTCCGCAGACCCATGGCATTTCCTTGCCATTGGCTCGTTTTAATCCGTCTCTTTTGTCCACTTTCAACCACTTCTATCCTGATTTCTCCGAGTGGAGGGTCTATGGGTGGGTAAATGAATGGACAAAATAAGCTCACATAATTTACATTTGAACGCGACCGGAGACAACGGAAAAACACACGGTGATCATCAGCTTTCATTTCTGCTCTGACAGACACAAGACCAGCCAAACGCTGTAAGTGTGTGTTAGAAATCAGGAATGATGAGAGAACTTTGTGCTCGATACCTTTTTCATCTTCAAACCAAATGTGGGTCTTCAGCCAAAGTTTAAATCACGTCATGGTCGAGAGTGAACAAGCTCAAAACATTTTAGACCCCGTTTACACCTGAATTTAGTCGTCCACTTGTGATCCAATCGACAAAACGCATCTTAATACCAGGTGTACACAGGGCCTAAGTTTGCTTTCACATTCCCTTCAAGAAGCTGCCAATCGCCGAGCTTTAAATTCTGTATTCTATATTAAGCCGTCCCCTTTGACTACAGTATACTATAATAATGTATATATGTGAATGTATTATTTGCAGATATATCCATTATCTCCAAAGTCATCTCAATAGTAACATATTCAGAGGCTCATGGGTACTGTAGTATTTGGTGCCATTAGACAGAGAATCAACAGAAAAATGGGATTGTTTTTTTCCCCAAAATTAAACTGAAATATTTAGAAGTGACGGTCAAAACATATGGGCACCGGTTTCCACCACTTAATTTACATAACTGCATAACAATTACACAATTTTCTCATAGATATGATTTTCAACAGCCTCACAGTGATTATTATTAGAACTTAATTATAGGAAATGTTCTCATTATTATGAAGTCAGTATGATATAATGAATCATAATTATGACATTGTATCTTTTACTTATGAGATACAAAGTCATAATTATGAGATATGTTCTCATTATTCTGAGAACATTTTTCTCCAAGGGGTAGAGCTGTGGTCAGGACCAAAACATCATTTTAAGCAATTTAATTTATTCACACATAGATGTATTACTTGTATTGTAAAGCGCTTTGGTGGCCATTGGGTCTGTGAAAATGCTATATAAAATAGATGATAAAATAATGAATAGGTAAATGAATAAGTAAATGGTAAAATGGTAAATGGACTGCATTTATAGACTTATGTAAGTATAACATATAAACACAATATAAAATGTCCTGATATTTAAGTTCATCCCCTAAAATCTAGATTGTTTTTGTTGTTGTTCCAATGTAAAGCACTTTTCTGCAAAAGCAGCAGTTCTGTGACTGCCAGTAGAGGGTGTTGTGGAGTTATCATGCGGGACATGAATATTCTCTCTCTCTCTCTCTTTCTCTGTGTAGGTGATTCCTCTGTTTGCTGTAGAGTGTCTCCGCAGGCATAATGCACCTAATAATGTGGAGATGAAGCAATCACCCCCACACACGAAAACCAATGATTAGACACAGCACACACTTCAACACCCCTCTGTTGGATTTCTGCAAATAATGATAACATTCATATTCTTACTGCAGTAGAATGAAATGTTTTCACTTTTTTTCTCTCATTATGAAGCTTTATATCTTTATTCTAATCTGTATGTTTACTAATAATCATGATACTGATGCAAATAGATTATGATTTATCTTTTTGTAAAAAATGATGTGTGGAAAATTTTATGAAAATAAAGAGTTTGGTCAATCTTCTGTATCATTTGGTTATTTCAGAAGGAAAATGTGACAGCTTGTAGTGAAGAGAATGTATGCCACATTACATATGGGCAATGTTTAGCAGTCTGACCCTGAAACCCTTCAGAGAAAAATTAGAGGAAGGGACAGAAAAACATAAAAGTTAAGAATCTTTATTTTACCCTTTTAATGAGAAAAAAAATCTAATTTGAAGTGCCCCTATTATGCTTTTTCAGATATTCCCTTTCATTCAGTGTGGAATGTAACTGCTTGTGAATGTAAAATGTCTGCAAAGTTTTAAAGAACGAAGTGCACAACAAATGAAGTATTTGTCTCCTAAAAGAAAGGATCAACTCTGAACTGCCGAAACGAGTCGTCAGCAATTCCAGTTTCACTTCCTGATCAAACAGTTACAGTGTAACAAATGATCTTCATTGGCTGCCGGTGAACGATGTCTACTTTGACCCTCGAACGCTGTAGTTTTAGCTGAGACTGGAGTTTCATGTCGTTGTTCATGTTGAGAAGACGCTGTTTTCTGCACTGCAAATCCAGTGTGAATGTGCTACAATAGATGAGGACTTGCGCTGGAATTGATACAGAGAAACCGGCGCCATTGTTACCGTTTGTATCACTGTGTATCAATCGCTGAGGGAGAGCTGAAATGTTTCAGACACTCGCTGCAAGCAGTCGACCAATCACAACACACTAGGCCATCTGACCAATCCGAGCAGAGCAGGCTCGTGGAAAGAAGGGCTTTACAGAGACTGGCTGCGTCCGAAATCCCATACTCTCTTGAGGAGGTACTTATTTTGAATAAGACATTATATATTTGAGCAGATTACATTAGAAGGTGTGGAATAAATGGATTACAGTGATTTATTCTTTAGAAACAAATCCATTATTATTTGCTTTTCACTGAGTTTTGTGTTTAACATTTGAACTTTTCCATTAGCTTGACATGTTGCCAGACGTAGAGTAGCATTTATACGCATGTATGATGCTCCTGAAGGGTTCGACTCTCTGACCTCATGAATTAGAATATTACGTCGATAGTATTGTTTTCATTCCTCGTTTCATTGCGATGCTAAAAATGGAATTTGATCCTTTCGATATAAATCTAGAAAGCTGTTCTTTTATTTCTAGCCAACATTGTATTACAGTCTCACAACTTTAAAAATATACAATTTTAGAGCATTTAGAACATTTATAAAGAAAAAAATCTAACAGCAAATATTATTTGAGAAACCACAACAACAAAAAATAAATCAGAGAAAAATAAAGTGATAGAGTGTGCTTAATCAAGAGTAGATATACCCGTATCTGAGTTCAAAACACTAGATTTCTGTCATTTTCCCCCACAAATCCCCACAGGACTTTTCTGATGTGTCATTAGCACCATCGGCCCAGGGTCGTGTGTGAGTTTGGTTTCAGTCCATCATTAGTGTCTCTTCCCTGGGTAAGAACAGGCTGGACTGTGTAATGCTAAAGTGAACTAGCATATTGACCCCACGCTGAAAGCTTGGCTGAAGGCTGCTTTACATTCAGCTTGCCTCCTGGACTGAAGGTACAAACGCAGTTCATAAGCATGAAACAAGACTGCATTACCAAAATAACAGTAGACTATTTCGTTTAGCATATTCACAGAACACTTGTAATGATATATTCTCATATAATTGTGTACTTTGTCTTTTTTTTCCACCTCGTAGCATTGGTTTGTTATAATACTGATTGAAACGACATACCCTGCAGAAAGAGGCTTGAGATTAGCATAACTAAAAGGTGCGTGGCATCACAAGTAAGTGATTTTTTGATTGTCTCATTGTGCATTTTGGGATTCGCTAGCATGTGTTGTTCTACATTCTGAAATCACGTTTAATAGGAGAGGACCGATTTACTAGCTGTTCCGCTGTATCTATGAGGTTACCAATAATCATTTGCTAAACCTTCCTGCGGAGGGAAGTCGCCTGGAAACATCACTGCCGTCTCTCGAGCTTCGAGCCTTGAGGTAAATGGGTGCTAGTCTTGCTTCCGGGCGGCAGCTCGGGGGCGGACCAGCGTCTCTTGCGTGTGCGCGGTGGCTCTGAAGGCTGTGGCGCTGGGACGGGTGCGCGGGGGGGGGGCATCTCCACTGGCCCGCCCGGAGCAGGTGTGGGAGTCAGAGCCAGACACACGTCCCCGGCGCTGAGCTGGCGGCACTGCAGCCCATACAGCTGCGCGCTCCGCTGGGGACTGCAGGAAGACCAGCCGCGCTCCCGCACGAAGAACGGATACTCCGCTAACACTGTGAGAAGCTCCTGCCGGAACAAGAGAGCACACTTCGGTGAGATGACAACACTTCACAGACAAAGACACTTGAGAGAATTCCTGCAGGAAAAGGATCCACCATATAGCAGAGAGAGAAATACAAATCATAACTCTTTGTTAGAAAACATCATTTGTTGTTATTAAGGAACACTGTGTCCTAACTACACGCGACGCGCGATAAAAGGCGTCTTTTCCATGTTAATCAGTGTTTGTCCTAGGCACCCGCGACGGCGACACGCAACGATTCTATTTTAGAAACGGTTTATATTTTTCTGCGGCGTCGTGCTGGAACAACAAACACAAAGTGTGGCACTGATAATCTCAGGTACTGTTTTGGCTCGTTTCCACTGAGCGGTACGGTACAGTTCGGTTCGGTACGCAATTATTTGCGTTTCCACTGTCAAAAGTTGTGAATGGTACCAAAAAGCCGAACCGTACCGTACCACTTTTTGGGTACCCTTCCGTTGGGGTACCTAGCACAGCGGTACGGTCCTAAAGGGTGGAGCTAGACTCACTGCAGAACGCTGATTGGTTGACAGAGTATCGTCACTTGCGCGTGCTACAAGGGCATTAGCAGCGCCATTTTTTAGTTGAAATATAATACTACTGTTATTGTGTCACGAAATGTAGAGTTTTTCAGGCGAGAAAGTAGTTTTTTAAAGCTCAAATCTGTGGTTTATTTATAGATTTATGATAATTTGAAGATCCATTCCAAGCAATCACCGGACGCTCGGCGCTCGTGCACCCCGCCTGGAACAGCCTTTCCCCGGCTAGCCGTTCTGATGTTTGCCGCTGACTCTGACGTCTCTGTAGTGGTTAAACATGAGATATAATTCGTCTTGTACAGACCTTACAGGCGATCTTTGGTCTCGTGAATCTATAATTCGTTCCCTGGCCAATAGTTTTGGCAGAAGGCTAAGAGAAGTTTCATATATTTGAGCGCTGAATTTGTATATTTGACTGAATTGTTTGCTTTATGTTATTAAAGCTTTACTGTGTATCTTTTTGTACCTTTTACTTATACTTTTATAATGGCTATTATTGATAAAACTGAAATTCAACAAAAATAGACAGTTTTGTCATTTTTTTATTTTATTACAAGATCATCTGTAAAGTTGTTTATTGCAACATTTACCAATCCAATATGCAATACATTGCCTGGAAAAGGTTTAATATTTTTAAATTTAAACGAAAAGAGGCAGGGTTGTGTTTTATATTTAGATTTGTTATAAATATAACGTTACATACCTGCAGTGAATATAATCAATAGGATATGCGTTGCCTGAACCACATTTGTGTGCTTATAATGTTTAAAATGTATTTAAATTAAACCGAAAAGAAGCAGAGTGGTGTTTTATAACATATTTTGTTTTATTGTTGCCTAAAATGTACATAACCGGAGTAGCAGAGCGAGCTGAGTCGCGTATTCAAGAACGCGCTGTTCCATCAGCAGAATTGCGCGTCCTCGGGATCATTCTCCTGAGTCGGACTTTGCGTGGCTACTTGGTATTGAGAAACGCCTAATGCCAGCGCTTGTTTCTTGTGACAAACATGCCGAGAAGCAAGAACAAGATCTGCTGTCTATCATCCATTGTTGTTTACTATGTCGCTTTCTTCGCGCGAAAATGACGTCGATCGCTTCTTTCCGGCAAACACCACGCCTATCAAGTAAGGGTACTGTTGGCAGTGGAAACGCTAGCCGGATCATGCTTTACCGACCCGAGCCGTACTGTACTGTACTGTACCGTACCGCCTCAGTGGAAACGAGCCTTTTGTGTGCTTTATTTAATGCTAAAAGCGTGTAATGTGACTTTGAATATTATTTAGTGCTCCAGCTTTGTAGCCGTAAAAAGCAACAATGGATAATTCACCTCAGATCTTGAAATTGAACAAATGGAAACAAGAACGTTCAAACTGTGAACAAACAAGTGTATTCTTTGACAAAGAATACAAGTGTATTCTTTGTTTTAGTAACTCAGTAGCCTATGTATTTTTAATAATGTTTAAATTCATATTTGTGAATTTGATTATGTAGCCTACAATCCATTTTCTTGCTAGTGCCGTCAAGATTACTTGCCGCGAGACTCCGCCCACACGCTGTTCTGATTGGCTGGTGCTGTGCACTTGCCGCGAGACTCCGCCCACACACTGTTCTGATTGGCTGTAGGTTTTGATTGATTTTGACGCATCTCGCAGTCGCGTCGCGCCTGATGTGGACAGACGCATTATTTGTCGCTGGAATCTTATCGCATCGCGTCTGGTTAGGACAAGGTATAAAGCAGCATACATCATCACATACAAATCTCCTTTCCTAATCAGCATTTCCTCTTTCTATCAAGTTTCAGTTAAAACTCATGAAAATGTTGGACCAACACTAGTGGAATGAGTAAACTCCTGTTTTGCCAGTGAAATGATTTTTCTCAGAAAAAGCCTAAGAATTGTTCTTCGTAAAGTAAACTGGTAGAAGAGTGCAGGTGGTGCCTCAACTAACCCAGGCAGGGTGGTCGCTTGGCAACCAAAGACAACAGAATTTGGTTTGGCACCGAAACCTCTTGCAGGAGCTCAAGTGCTCAAATGCTCTTTGAGAAAGAACTGTTGTTTGTTCCCATAGGGGCTAAAAGCACATTTGACTTCATTCTCCTTTAAAGCACTAGATGGCACTCAAATTCAGCTCAGCACTTTTCTTAACAACCACTTTCGATGACACACATGCATTTGGCTGATCCTTCACACTATCTTGGGAGTTTATTCTGCGCTAATTTAATCTAATTGATCTTTCTCTTTATATTTATATTTATATAGTAGATTTATGTACAACATAAGAATCGATAAATTTATTGTCAATGTTTTGAGACAAATGTCTCCTTAATGTTTTTCCGTTTTGCTCATGGTAAATAAAACAACAGTTTTTCAATAAGAGAAGAATATGTAAAGTATGGTATTTGGGGTGAAAGACAAGAAACAGCTGTCTGACTTTTCCATTTGTTGACACGACATGGTTAGATTCAAATGATAATTAACACATATTAAGTTGGGTGTCCACCTTAGAGATAATCACCATTTATAATGAAACTAACATATTTTGTCATATTTATTGTTAACTGTAAAGCTACATTTAATTATTATGGGATCTCATTCAGTGCTTTCAGAACTTTAATTTATAAAATAATTTTATTTCTGTATTTTTAATATGAACATATATTTATTGTACAAAAATGAATTAATTTATTTATGAAAATAAACAGTAAACTTTGCTAAAGAACTTCTACTGGCCAAAACGAAAAACATCTGAAATAAGCCAGGTTATCTAAATCAAAGATTAGACTGAAATATGTTTATTGTAAAATATCATTCTCAAAGACTGAATCACTTTTTTACATCAATCATTGTTTTGCAGATGCCAGAAAAAAGGAAAGAGTGGCGCCACAAACTGAATCTTGCCTGTTGCAAAACAACATTCTTGTGACTTCTCTAATTAAACAACATATATTTAGTTGTAAACTCCAAATATAGCTCGCTCCAAAATGAATGTTTAACATTAGCAGACAGGCTGTCAGTTCATAAAGTGAGCTTACTTTATTTTCTTCAATTGATATCCATTCAAAAAGGCCAAACTGTTCTCACTCCAAAGGTGGCTGATAATGATAATGAAAATCATGATATCAAAATTATACGCCAGCATAACTGTAAACTCTAATGCTCAAAGTATTCAATTGTATTGAGCAGGGGAACATTTAAGTATTCAAACTAGTTGAACCTCTTTAACCTTGGTTAACTTTTTTTTTGAGCTGATAAACTGACACATTTTATGTAACCAGAATTGTTAATGGTTTGAGTTTAGTGAACTGTCTTCACTGTCTTGGCTGGGGTTTAAAAGACACTTAATATTCAGTAATGTTATCGATTTGACAGCACTGACACTATTGGATGAGAAAAATCGAGCTGGATGTTGATATCACTGCTTTCTGTAAAACTGCTTTATAGATTAATCAAATTAATTTCACCACTGATCTGACTCAATCTCAAAAATGACACTATTGTCTTCTGTAGAGCTGTTTTACAGCTGAAATTGTATTCAAACTTTGCAACGTTAATACTGCCGTTTTTTGTTTTTGTTTATTCTTGTACATTTCTGGCTTCTTCTGGGGATATTGTAACATCTATATTTGCTGTCCTTCTGAACCTCTCATGAAATACTTTTTTTTCTGATCCTGAGCTAAATGTGACCAATGAGCAATGTCTTAGCAAAGGGAAGAACGAGCTGGGAAGAAGACAAACACAAGGTTTCTTATGAAATTCTTTGGTGTTATCAACATTATGTTTAAGGGATTATCATTAAGGAAGAAAAATCTAAATATATTCTCTTTAGCAATCCTATTGCTAGAGTTTATCCTCTTGCCACCCTTGAGACCTGTGAACAACGTTTGAAGTCCTAAATAAAGAGTTTCATACAGGTTTTTTTGGCTCTTAGTATGAACATGTTAGCCTTAAGGTTATCTATAAGATAGTGTGCTCCAAAACAATGACAAAATCATTATATTTAATATATTTCTTTATAAAGCACGATAATAACATAAAGCAATGTTTATTTTACTCTGATATATTTATTTTATTCTCATCTCACACATCATGGATCTTCACTCAAAAGGCTTTTTTTTTTGCAACGGGGCGTTTTTTCATATAATGTATTTCTATATAATACAAATGTGATACATTTCATCTTACAAGAAATGTGGACACAAAATGGATAAACAAAAAAATAAGTGTATACATCCATATTATATATTAAAGCACAGACTGTTTTTTTTTTTTGTTTAATCAATCTTTCTTTAATTAGCATCAAACAAACAATATAATTATTGTTCACAGTAATAAAAAGACTGCTTATAGATTGTTAAATAAGATTAAATAATGATTGCACAGTAGGTGGCGGTATGCACTAAGAATGTAAATCGGCATTAAACAAAAGAAGAAGAAAGAAGAGGTATGGCGTGCTTCTTTTTAGCATCTGTTTCCATGGTGACTCCATGGTGAATGTCTTTGTCTGGTCACCGCTAACTCTGAGTTTTATACTCCGGGCTGACCGAACTTACAGTACTCCAGTTTTTGGAAACTGCATACCATGAGTAAGCAAGGTTTGGGTTAATCACCTGAGAGTTCAGGGTATATGTGATGGTTAGCTAACCTTTTTTTCTGGAATACCACCCAGATTCTCATCACATTTTCTGCCCAATCAAATGCTCTCTAGAATCTGAAGTATCCCGCTCCCTACATTATTAAAGATGCAGAGGCTGTCTCGATATGTCCTGATCTGAACTCGTATTTCAGTGGAAATGACATCAACACATTTAATAGCTCGTAACTGTGTGCCTTTCAAGGGACTTCAGACATTAGGATTCTAAGTAACCTTTTCAGTTACCTGGAAGACATCAAGTATTGGAAGGCATGTTGCTACTTCAACATGCACAAAAAATGTAAAACATCTTGGTGTTATGTTTTTCATCCATCAACGAGTTTCAACGACGCAAACTAATTTTGTCGTAAAGGATCTGCAAAAAGTGGCCCATGCTTTAATTTAGTTTGTGCAATATAGTGATACTTTATCAGTTGTGCAAAGAGCTTCCAAGACAATTGTCATGTTTTACTTGTGCTTTTGTTTTAAGTTTTAATTTAGCTTTAGTTTTCAAAATTCCCTTCCTTATTATCATTTTGCACTTCTGTATACATGTTTGTTGTGCTAGACTCACCTGAGTGTTGCGGTCTGTGAGTAAGACCTGCAAGTGGTTGAAGCCATAAGTGGGTCCTGGCGAGATTAACAGAATAGTGCAGGTACTCAGGTGAAACTCAGGCAAGGTGTCAGCACTGCGTAAGAAATCCTCCGTCTTCAGCTCCTCCACCCTCTTCAGATGGCCACCGGCCAGCTCGATCAGGGAACCTTTGGCAAAATGAGGTAGGACTGCAGAAGGGGGCGGGTCAGGGCCAGTGAGCACAGCGACGGGAGGGCGGTAAGACCCTGCAGAGGGATCCCATTCTGTCTCAAACCCATGGCTGTTCTGTTGGCTTTGCAGGGAGTACTGGGAATTCCTCGGGGAACAGGACACAGAAGGACTAAGTTGTGGATATGCTTGAGGGTTCTGGTGAGCAGAAGGGCAAAGGGACCCCAGAGCATAGTAGATCTGAGCTCCAGCCTGAGAGGCACTAACACCAAAATGGTCCTGAGAAGTGATGGCCTTTCCTGTCTTTGTGTCTGACGAGGGGGGCATTGGAGCTTTGGGTGTTCCCCAGCGGTCCCTGTCCCATGAGGAATGTGCACTTGTGTTCTCTCGTGGCAGAAGGCCTCTTCCGAGGGTCTGTCTTGTTGTAATCTCCTGTCTTCTCCTGCCATTGGCATGTGGACCATCCAACCTGCTCACATTGTCGCTCCCACAGTCATCGCAAGAGGGCACTCTTCTGCTAGGCCTGCTGTCTGGGCTATCAACACCATTGGGCCGTCTGCCTTGGTACCTGAGTCTGCTGTCAGGGAGGGTGTCGTGGGGATAAGCCGTAGGCTGTGGAAAGAGATTGGGGGAGAAGAGAGACGAGCTGTAGTCTCGCCGACTGGGGCCGTAGGACCACATTTCCCTGGACTCGGCTGTGTAGACACTCTTGAACGTGGGCACAGAGATGAGTGGTTGCACACTAATGGGGGGGTTGTCACTGCTCAGCCAGCGAGAGTGTTGGGGAATGGTATGCTCCAGTCCTCCATCCATACCCCGTCCACACAATGTTTCTCTCCAGGATGCCGAAGATGACCCTCGCCGCTCTCCCACCTGGACCGGCAAGTACGAGTGATGCATGCCGGGGGTATAGGACACCTGCCAAGGCAACGACAGAGAATAAGGGGGCAGCATGGGGGGAGCGGGTGGTAGAAGATCCCCACTCTCTCTGTGACCCTCGGTGGAGTGATGCTGCCGTCGGCTTCGGAAAGGGGCAGGGGGTTTGAAGTCATCCTCCGGAGCTGGTTGATCTGATGAGCCCTGTCGGGACTCCCGCTTTTTTGGGGGGAGACACTCCTTGCTGCGGTCTGGGCTTGGATTCATGGGACAATCCCCCGGGCCTTCTGGGCCACACTAGGTTACATGGGCTGGGGAAAACAAGGGGCTAGGAGAGATCAATTTTCTCCTGCTGATCAGCATCACGCACACAACTTGTCACTCACGGCCACGTCCAGAAATCCCACTCACCTGAGAGGAGAAAGTGCAAGAAAAAAAAAACGTTACTGACCTCTTGCTTGGCCCTCAACAGTATATGCACACAACAAAAACATCAGTGCAGGCCCTAAATACAGTATTTTGAAGTATAAAATCTATATATCAACCACAGATTTAGTTAATCACATTTAAGATACATTTTAAAGTGTTGTTCATACACTTGCTGGGGCATTTATATATGATTATCTTCTATTCTGTAGAACTTCAATTTATTGCTCCCACTAAAACACCCACAAAACCGGACAACTGAGACCTAAATAAAACATCCATATGATTATCACTATATTGCTGTTGTGGTACCAACAAACAAACTAAACATATACTGATACACAAACACTCAAGAAACATTTTCTCACCCACACACATACAGATATGCCAAGAGACTACATGTCAGTTCTTAAATAGGTTGCCTCTGCTCATTAAACTGTGATGGGAATCACCAGACTTATTCCAGAATTGTTCAATAACTGCTACTGTAGTGATAGGAAAAGCTACCTCATGATTGAAGTTCACTTTGGGATATACGGCATTTGAAAAAACAACAAGAACACACACACACAAAACGAGGCTCCTTAAAGCCGTAAAATATGCTTGTTTCACTCACACCTTCCTGTGGGGCAGTGTCTCTAATGTCAATCCAACACTCCTTAGACACTTCTATTTTACTGCGATGCGCTGCCAGCACATCTGGTCTCTTTCTCAACGCCTCTGTCTACCACACTGTCTGCATGCACTGAACCCGATACCCTGCTGCTGTTTCCATGGAAACTGAGTCCATACATCTACAGTGACCAAAGAAGGCTAAGAGGACTATATAGGGATTCTCTCGGAAAATGTAGGCCGTCAAACTGTTCAGAACTCATCACATAAGATCAAGCTGCTAAAACAAGTTTAAGAAAAGTTTGTTTGTGCAGTCTGAGCTTTCACATTGGATGGAGACCATTTCTAATTATTGTCACAAGTTACTTTTTTTATATGAACTCTGAAGTTCTAGTGCAATTTGTCGAGAAAAAAATGACTTGAATAATAAATAGAGAGCTGAGTGTTCGTAAGTTTCTCATAAGACAAAATGTTGAGCTGTGCTTACAAATGCTTTATGTTTTTTATAGTGTTTACACATTGTTTATGCATCATCTGTCATATACTGTAGTATGTAAAGTAATTAAATTGCACATAATGTTTGTTATATCTCTGAATGCTGCACATATGAACACATTTTCATGATGAAGTAGAGAAATCCTGGATTAGACATAATCATGTTACTCCAGCAGACATTTAAATATTAAAATAGTAATAATAATAATAAAAGTTGAAAAGCATTTTTTGTGGTAATTTTTTAATTCAAAAGAGAACTGGAAAGCTTGGAAAATAGAAGAGATAGACATAGAACACAACATCAATTCTGTGAACTGATATTTCTGCGAGCTTGTACTTTATTATCTCTAGGTGGAGTGTTTAAAAATAAAATAAAAATATTACATAACACAGCTGTAACATGCCTGAAACATGCCATGATTATTACCCTAAACATTCAGTTTTTGAAAGTCGGGTACAAATACATTTTACACCTTGTATCCCTGCAAATCGTTTTTACAGACCTGCATGTTGTGTTAGATTAAATCTCTCTAACATGATGTTTTTGGATCATGTACAATGCTCTGCAAATTGATACATTTAGAAAGCTTTTTTTTAAATCACAGAGTAGAAAACAGGACAAGTACTGACAGAATCAAAATGACAAACATAAATATTCTTTAAGAGGAGCTTTCTTATAGCATTTAACTAATTACCTGCCAGATTAATACACTATCCTTACAGACAGCACTGCAAAGCCATTTTTGTCATTTATAAGACTGGATTTCATGGCGACTGACATTTATTACACTTCACTGTCACAAATAACATTGAGGCTTAACACTGTTTTTATTTTTGAAGTGTCATAGTATATTAATTTTCACTAGTTTAAGTCTCACTACTTTTTATGTTAACTCATGTTCCACTGTTCTAGTGCAATTTGTGCAGTACGAACTAGTGGAAAAACTGATAACCAGTCATCTTCGATGACTTACTAAAAACAACCTAAAAAGGGGGTTCTCCAGAGGAACCTAAAAAGAATGAATACTAAATAATTACAAAGTAAACTATGACCTTTATTAAAAAGCAAAAAAACGAAAAAACAGAATGTAAACCACAGATTACAGAAAAAACAAGTGATAAGCATGTCACGAGCACACATAAATGGTGTTAATGACTTAGATCGAGATCAAAATAAAAAGCACTGCTGACCTGATGCGACTGACCTTGATGGGGTGTGCGGAGCAGATATCCGTGTGACGCCACTTACTCCTGCAGTCCATCACACCTGCTTCTCTTCCACACACACACACACACACACACACACCACTAAGGCAACGGTGTGTACAAATCTACAGGCAAATTGTGGTGTCACAGCATGTCGAAAGGGCTGCAAGGCTGACTGTGAAAAAGTGTGAGAGTTTGTGCGTGTGTGTGTGTACACAAGGCTGAGGAAATGAGTAATATCGTGCAGTGTGAGGCATGTCTGCTGTGCAACAACACACAGGCAGACCAGTTGCTGCTGTCGCCCACTCGCCTTACTCACTGTGAAAGGGATAAACACACACACATGCAGTAACAGACGGGTAATTACACACACTCCTACTCATCCTATCGCTCTCAAACACACACTCTCAGCTCTGAGCATATGCATTTACATACGTGATAAGAATGTAGATAGATAGTGATATATAGCCTCGTGAGACCATCCTGATCTCGCGAGCTTTCAAGGTTTCACTCGCAGATCAGTCTGGATACTTTCCGTTAAAGAAAATTTGGGAGCAGTTCACCAAACGAACGTCCAATCAGCGTTGGCTTTGAGGCGGGTTGAGGTGTGACGCAACGAGAAGCGCGTCAGTTCAGTCTAAAGAACATGTCGGCTTCAGCGGATGAAACTAGCATCAGCGTGGCTATCGAGCAAGTTTTATCGGAATTACAGAGTATTTCTTCACTGAAAGAAGAGCAAAACACTGCTCTGGAGGCTTTTCTCAGAGGAAAAGATACGCTCTGTTAGTACGTCATATGCTTCGTTGATCTGATTGGTTGATTTGGCCCGTCTATCACCAACATAGGCCAATCAGCTAACCAGTATTTTCGCCCCTTACCAAAACTACTTCAACGGAAGGTTTCCAGATGGATATGCGGAGCAAATCCATCTGGCGGAGTCAGGTTAAGTGATATATGCTCTGGTTTCAAGCACATCATTGCACTGTAAACAATTACCAGGATTTTAAAAGACATTCTGACCATAAATAAATTACATTATATTGTGATATCACTAGCTGTTTCATAAAGTCACCATTGTGGTGATTAGTTCCTTTTGGCTGAGAAGTTGGATATATTTACTGTTAATTTCTTTATATGTGTGTTCTGACCATAGAACACATCTGGTTGCATTGCCTCCATACTACATAACTGAAGTTTAATAACCAAGTGTGAAAAATAACCAGGTAACTGAACTTTTCTAAGCAGGTGTGCCACAGAAACATACTATTTTTTGCATGTTTACATGAATTTCTGTCAAACAGTGAGAGACATTTGGTTGTGTTAGTTACTTGTTTTCTGTTTGTGTGGCATTATACTGGGTAAACTCACACACTGAAAACCTACTGAATTAAAATCCTGGATTGAATTGTATTGTGGAAGCTTCTGAGTGTTAATGAGAGATTTGCGTGATGGAAACACATCAGTGTTCACATGGTCTGAAGCCCTATAGAATTACACCACTGATGATACACTGATGGTGCTAAAGCGATGCCACCGAGGTGCTACTTCTTATAAATTTCTGCTTGGCATCATCACCTCAGATTTTCCTCAAACAGGCATGAGCCCATGCAGCAACAGGGAGTATGGCCAGATATGCAGTGTCTCATTCTCATTCAGGGAACATTCCCTTTAGTAGCAATTCAATGCTGTGTGAACAATTTAAGATTAAGGCGTATGAACTGTTACTAAACCTGTGTGGCAAGCAAACATCGACGACGCGCCAAACATGCCAAGCAAAAATATATATACACTGTATATATATACACTGTATACATATGAATTACTTCCATCCCACAGAAAGAACCTATGATGCCAGAATCAAAGCCTCATACAAATCTGACAAAAGTATTTGGAGAGGACCAGCCTCAAGCCAATGTCTTCCAAGCACACTTTACCCAATGCCAATGAAGAAGCCACATTACTTGTAGAATAAGAATAAATACCGAAGACAACCCAAATGCCTCATAGGCAAGCCGATGAGACATCCTCTGCTTGAAGACCGCATAACCTCTGTTTTGACCACCAAAGCATACAAAAAGCTTGTCTGACTACACACTTCTAATGGCGTACCTGCACAGAAAAAAAGTGCTGTGCGGTGGGCAGATGCAAATATAAAAAATATTATAGTAAATATAGTATAGTATTATAGTCAATATAAAAAGTAATTGCAGTGTTCAGGTCACCAAGCACTGTAAAACCCAACAAGTTAAGCTAACTTATTTCATTTGAGGAAACGGGTTACCTCAATTCATTTAAGTTTATAAAAAACAATAGTTATGAGTACTCTGAACTTATTTTATTCGAGTTCACTAAAACAATAATATTTCTTAAAACACAATTAAACTTTACACTGCATTTAATACTGTATATAGCTGAAACTTCACTTTATTGAGTAAAAACAGTGAAATGGCAAACTTTAAATGAACTCAGAGCACTTGCAGTTACTGCTAGCTCACAATATCACACACAAAGTCAAATCCAATGAGTTAAGCTACTCATTTCATTTGAGGAAACTGATTGCCTCAATTCATTTATGTTTTTTAAAAAACAATAGTTATGAGTACTCTGAAATTATTTCAGTTCACTAAAAGTGGATATTGCAGTCAAGAAATTAAGTGATTAATTAAGTGATTGTTGAGCATTAATGATGAACACCTGCTGTTAACATCACTGAAGGACAGAGAAACACAAGAACTACAACTGACTTCCAACCACAACATTAGATGAAATCAACTGAAGATAAAATATGTTTAAATCACTCAAGATCCACAAATGGCATTACCAGCTTCACTTATTACTAACCAGTTTGACTTTTATCATGTGTCTACAGAAGTTGTTATTGTGAATGAACAGAGGTTTAGATGAAGATGATTTATCGAGTTTCATTTAAAGACACCATGATAGTGGTCAGTGTTTGCTTTAGTTGGGCTCTTGACCCTTGACTTTACAACACCAGTTTTTCCTCTGGCTGCTGTAACTGAGATTTTATATAACACATTTGTTATGGCACAAAAGCCAAAAGAAATTTTGTTTTGATGATGATTTATGGAATGATGAATCATCATTTGGTGTCTTGATTCTCTGATCTTTTCTAGAGAATAATCTCTGATTAAACAGGTGATATATAACTTGTATTATTCTTCATAAAAGAGCTATGATTCTACTGTAAGGCCCATTGTTGTTACAATCAGATTTGAAAAACATCTATGGTATCATGCTGACTTACACAGACATCAAGAATCAGTATATGAATCTCAACAATGGTGACCATTAAAAAACGATTCATGCTGCAATGCATGCTGGGCGCCATGGATAAGGTTTGTATTATGGTAGTACCCAGCATGCATTGCAGTATGAATCGTTTGTAATGGTCACCATTGTTGAGATTCATATGCTGATTCTTGATATCTGTGGTAGTTTTAGTTATGAATTACATTTTCTGTAAAATCCTTCATACTATCTGATAGTCATAACATTGCTAGTTCTTATGATGTAGAATCTTAGTTTCAAATAAAACTAATAATATTTGCCCTTTTTTGTCAGAGACTAGACTCTGAATGAGATCAGTGAATCAAGTCATTAAGTGATGATTGTCATCATTAAACCTTGACCATCATCACCCGAACATACTTTTCCTTGGAATATTGTGCCATATCAAATGTTTCATAAACATTCAATTACAGCAGCCAAAGAAAAACTTGTACTCAAACGTCAAGGGTCAAGAGCCCAACTAAAGCAAACGCTGATCTCCATCATGGTGACCTTAAACCTTGTGTTTCTTGTGTTTCTCTTTCCTTCAGTGATTCTGCTTGTTAACAGCAGGTGTTCATCACTAATAATCAATCATCACTTAATAGATGATTAATTAACTTAACTATGCAATTATTATTAAATTATCATTCTGGGATCTAATATTCTATAACTCATTCAGTTTGAGTTCTGTTCCAGTCATTCAACCCACTTCAAGTTTCGGTATTATTTTAGTGCAGTGAACTCAATTTAATTGAGTAAATAGTACTGTTAGGTTTTACAGTGAATACGTTTTAAAGATTTCATGAAAAGAACATAAGATGAGTCAAATATGCAGTACTAAAGAGCTCAATACGAGAGGCATGGCTTAAGGCAACAAAGTTTTTAGAAGAGTGCCTTAACCAAGAGGTGGAAATAACGGATGGTAGGCAGAGACGTAGCGACAGGCCAGGCAAAGCAGGTTAATGCAATGCATTTTGGGAGATAATGATGAATTATGTAAAGTTTGAAATATTATTAATGTAAACATTAATAATAAAAAAATATTAATGTGGGCTGAAATGCAAGAGGTGGTACCGGGAATAATGCACACAACACTGGGGTCACCCCTTGTAAAGTATCGGTACTGTGTCTTGCTTCCACGAATCAGTACTTTGCAGTAGTTAATACTTCAATTAACCCTCTGGGGTCAACAATCACGCCGGCGTGATCTGCTCGCTTTTTTTCTTATCAGTGCAAAAGAGACTCAAAATACTCAGTTGATTTTGATCTTACATTTAAGTGTTATACATCATTAGATCCTGTTAAGTTTCGATTTTTTTTGTGGATACTCACAATAAAAACAAAGTGTTGTGCTTTTCACCAAATAAAGAAAAACAAACATGATGCGAGTTCTGCGTTCTCTCTGTCAGTGAAGTCCATTCTGAAACGCGTCCTAAGATTAACTGTAACTCCGCGATTACTTGTCACACAGGCACGAGAGATTTTTCTTTATGAAGCTTGAATTCTCTTCTTTTAAATGATGTAATTTATATAAAAAACAAATATTCTCAGTTTATGCAATCTGTATGAAAAGAGAGTGCTGTCAGTATTTTTTTCCCCAGCTCATTACACTTCATTACGCGTTAATCTGACACGCCCACGGAGGACGCGCGCTATTCAAACGCAAATGTAGAGGCAAGCCATGACAATGCCCACATCAGCCGTTCCACCGCGGCGGTAAAATGTGTGGTGTATTTGCTGCGTTTTACCGCTAAGAGGCGCTACAATCATAGACTCTGAAAAGTGTTCGTTTATTCCGGTTTATTCTCTCTAATGCGTAATCTGCTGCCGCACCGCGGCTGATTCAGAGCAATTGAAAGCTGGTAGCAGATGAATTCAACAAGTGAAACGTAGTTAAAATAATTCATAATCACTATCCATATCCAATTTATTTTTTTTACAGAACTGCTTTTGAAATTACGATTGGTAGCCTATTATTATACAGATGCAAAGTCGTTCTGTTGGATACTATTTTGTTCCTTAGTGTAAAATGGAAATGCATGATAATTGTATTTTATAAATATCAGCAAAAAAAAAAAAAACTGTATGGTGTAACAGAGTTTTAGAGCTAGACAAATCTCTCTGCAATAATAAATATAAAATTTACAGCA